CTCTCTTCGAGCTGACCATGATAGAGCCCCTGCAAATGGCTTTGGCATCTCTCTGCGCCCGGCCCTTCCGGCGCTTCTCCGAGCGGAGCAAGAGGTAGCCGTAGCCTCGGCGTGCTCCCAGAACCAGCATGAACCCTAAGGGTCCATGTACCTATATAGTACATACTTGGGCCTTAAAGGGCTTCCTATATAGTAGCTTTAGGGCCCAAATACTTTATAGGTACATGGACCCTTAGGGGAAGAGCTTCCAGCTTTTTCCTGAGGGTATGTACCTATTTGGGCCCTAGAGGCCCTATATAGGAGGTACTTTACGGCCCAAGTATTGCTTATTTAGGTACATGGACCCTCAGGGCTTTCTACAGTCATGCGCCCACCTTAAACACGACTTCCTTGTCAAGAGAGTTCCTGTCACGTGGAAAGACTCATGCTGGGCTTCTGTAAGCCCCGCCTGCCAAGACCCAGTGAACGTAGATTCAAAGGGTGTGAACTGACCGCTGCTATACCCTAAACCCTGGGGGTGTGGACCGTTTGCTTCAAGACCAGAGAATAAGACAACCTCCCGTCAAGTTTCGCGGCTCATGAGATCCCTTACTGCTTGGTCTTTTAAGGCGGGGACAGAGAGCATCTGATGTTGGGGTCTTCGCACGGGGGACGCGCGAATCGTAAGGGTGTGACAGACAGGCGGTTGGGGTCCCGAAAAGTACATCCGTGAAAGATGACTTGGAAATAGAGGTGAATAAGACCCCAAGAAGGACTCATGATGGTGCGGTTTCTTGGCGCTGGAGGTGAACACGCCTCTGTTAGAAAGGTGAGCAGTGAGCGCACCCAGAGGAAATACAGGGTTTAGGATTTGGTCACGTCTCTACGGGTCCTTACCCTAAACCCTAAACCCTAAACTTACTCTACAGCGGCCCCTCTTATTTTAGGGTACCCAAAACAGGGGCCGATCATCTTGAGAACCGACCCTAGTAGAGGGTTTGGGGTCTTGGGTTTAGACATGTTTGCGCCACCCGTCTGGCAAAGCTCCACGGGGCTACTGCAGATATGATGGAAAATTGTACTACGCAATTTAGGGTCTAGTGTTGGTGCAGGGTATAATCAAAGTTCAGACATGCTTGGTTTGTGCTTCCTGCACCATGCTGGGCGAACCGCATGGCAGGGATTCGTTTGCATGGTAAAGATTGTGAACCCCCTTCCAGGGTTCTTTTGGGACCTTAGAGAGGGTTTTTTTCCCTCCTGCACAGCTGGGGCGAGAGGGTTTAGGGTTTAGGATTTAGAGTTTACGGTTTAGGGGCTTAGGGATCTTCAGGGTACGGTAGGGGCTATGTTGTGCCACTGTCTCTTTCAGGATGGTTCCAGGGGATGAGGGCAAGGGGCCTAAAAAGAAACTTCAGACTGCAAGGGGCCTGCAACACCTGTGTCTGTGCGCGTGCTTGTGTTCAATACATTGTGGCCTGTTTGGAGGTGAACCCTAACCCTAAACCCTAAACCCTAAACCCAATAAACCCTAAACCCTAAACCCTAAACCCTAAACCTGGCCCCGAAGTCCTGCCATCGTGCGCCCCAATCCCGATTTGGAGGGTCGCCGAGCAAAAGTGGGAAACAAGCTCAAGCCGCCCGAAGGACTTTGCATGGGGATCTAACCATGGGACCTCGTGCTACCCTGGAATATCCGTGCACGCGTTAAGGCTTTAAGGGTCAAAGGGGTTCATAGCTCTAAAGCAGTGAAGATGTTCTGCAACTGCTGTGAAGGGGCGTCGTGGTGTGACCTACGCAGGCTGCGCGAACGATAACACCGAGACATCCTCTTGACAGACGTGCCAGCCTTCCCCGTGTTAGTGGGTGTCTTGAAGAGCCCGCAGAGTTACCCGAAGGGTCCATGTACCTCTCTATTATATACTTGGGCCCCGAAGTCCCTATATAGGAGGTACTTTAAAGCCCAAGTATTCCCTAAACAGGTACATAGTGCCTTAGAGGGTTTAGGGTTTAGGGTTTAGGGTTTAGGGTTTAATTTAAGCCAAGAACTGATGCAAGAGATCTTGGGGCCTTCTAAGGCAACCATGAACCTCCCAACACGCATGGCGACATCGGAACTAGGACTTGCTTACCCCTAAGGGTCCATGTACCTTAGGGTTTAGGGTTTAGGGTTTAGGGTTTAGGGTTTAGGGCCTATATGGTATATACTCTTGCCTTAAAGGGGTTCCCATATAGTAGCTTTAGGGCCTAAGTATATACTATATAGGTACATGGACCCTTAGGGTTAAGAACCCCCCCAGAAGGCACAGATAGTATGGCATAGAACGCGCAATTTTAGGCGTTTTCCTTCTTTATTCTTTTGGGTTGTTCTTAAACCCTAAACCCTAAACTAGCCTAAACCCAAGCCCCAAACCCCAAACCCTGAACCCTAAAAATCCGCAACCCTAAACCCTAAGCCCTTTTTTGGGGGTAAAAACCCTAAAAACCCTAAACCCTGAACCCTAAACCCTAAAAACCCTAAACCCTTAAGCAAAAAGGTAGGGAAAACCGTGCCGGAAACCGAGGCAAGGACGCTTGTGGCGGGCGATGACGAAGGATCGGCGTTGTGTTTCTGATCGTGGCCAAGGAGGGGTTGGGTCTCATAGGGGTGTGGGGTGGGTGCTGGAACTGTTAGGGTTTAGGGTTTAGGGTTTAGAGTTTCGGGTTTCGGGCTCGGGGTGAATACCGTGAACGACGACTACGCGATGAATTCGGAGGATTTCGACATTGGCCACTCACTAATGTTTGCAAAGAGCCACGTCTGCACACATCAAAATACAGTAAAACATACATACCTCCCTACAACTTCATCTGCTGTTGATAAAAGGAACTCCTGGCTCACAGAAACAAGGGGGTTCATGGGGCTTGGGGGATAATCCCCTCCCCCTAAGATAAACCCCCCGCCCCTAATATTCAGTACGCGCATTATAGTTCTGACATAGGATCTAGGAGGTATTTAATATTGAAGGGTAGGGGGGGGTTAATAAAATATTCGGGGAGGGGATAGGGTTCAGGGTTCAGGACAGTGCTCCCGCTGCCCTTAAAGAGCCACTCCTCATAATTACTGTTGCACTGCAGCTTTAGTAGGGAGGACCCCCGTATGTTCAACGCCGCTAGGGTTTAGGGTTTAGGGTTTAGGGTTTAGGGTTTAGGGTTTAGGGTTTAGGGTTTAGGGTTTAGGGCTTAGGGTCTAGGGGTTTCGTTAGCCGGGGCACTCTCTGCTCTTCCTCCTGCCATGTTGTTCACAAGGGGGAGGCCAAAAGAAGCTCAAGAGGCTGCAGCCGAAGCTGCGAGAAAAAACAACCGGCAGATACGGCCGTAACGAGGTCACTGAGAATGCTGGAATTTCTGCACATGGCGATTGTCGAGATGGTCATCGTGAGACAGATGCGTGTGTCAGCAAGTTCTCACGTTTGTAAGCCGAATGGCTGCGTGGCCTGTTTCGCTTTTTGAGGCTTCGGGGCTTGGGATTTCGGGCGTGAGACTTCGCCCCCCCCCCCCCTGCCAAACTGATATTAGTCAATTTGTGTGGCCGTCGGACCCGAAAAGCTGAGAAAGTTGCCTAAACCCTAAGCCCCCTTTTGAGGCAGGCTTGCGGGAGCCAAACATGACAACGTACTCCGGAGATTCAGGGACGCAGCCCTCCAGAAAGCTCTCCAGCCCTAACACCCCCAGTTCTAGGGTTTAGGGTTTAGGGCAGGGGTTTAAAGGGTTCGGGGCTCATATACCCTGAGAGGGGTGCAGGGTGCGATGGTGCCAACTGCAGGGTTCCTCCGACCCGAAGGATAACGTAATAATCTGACAATATAGGGTTAGGGTTCAGGGTTCAGGGTTCAGGGTTCAGGGTTAGGGTTTAGGGTTTAGGGTTTAGGGTTTAGGGTTTAGGGTTTAGGGTTTAGGGTTTAGGGTTTAGGGTTTAGGGTTTAGGGTTTAGGGTTTAGGGTTTAGGTTTAGGGGTTAGGGTTTAGGGTTTAGGGTTTTGGGTTTAGGGTTTAGGGTTTAGGGTTTAGGGTTTAGGGTTTAGGGTTTAGGGTTTAGGGTTTAGGGTTTAGGGTTTAGGGTTTAGGGTTTAGGGTTAATGAACTAATACAACAATACAATAAGATGCAGCATGATCATACGACTTGGGATGTGCCCCCTCATACTTGCAGCCCTTAGTAGGGATTCCAGTACCCCCTACTAGAGTCCCTATTGAGGACTGCCATAGTATAAAGGGGGAACATCCCAAGCCTACAGGGGTGATTACCCTAAACCCTAAACCCTAAACCCCAAACCCTAAACCCTAAACCCTAAACCCTGAACCCTAAACCCTAAACCCTAAACCCTAGAGCCAGGTCTCGGGGCCTCTGGTGACTTGAGCCCGCCTTCCCAGCAGAGCCTATGAAAGGAGAACCGGGCCCGCGGCATGCCCTCGCAAAGACGGCCCTGGGAGCAGTTTCGGGTTTGTATGGGTTTAGGGTTTAGGGTTTAGGGTTTAGGGTTTAGGGTTTAGGGTTCAGGGTTTAGGGTTCAGGGTTTAGGGTGTAGGGTGGTTAAGAGTAAGGAGTTAGGGTTGGTAAGGGAAGGACGGCCTTTGAAGGGGGCCGCGCGGGCGAGTGGGGGGGGGAGGGGGAAGGGTTCTTCAAACTTGTACGGGGTCTAAGGTTCCAAGTATGGGCCCTGAACTTGGGTCCCTTGCTGTACAACCCTTATGTACAGTACACATGATAACGCCCATACGTCGGGTCCCTGTAAACAAGGGTAGTTCCAGCCTTAGAAGGGGGTCAGGGCGGGGGGGCGGTGAAATTTACTAGGGGCCGGGGTGGGGGGGTGGGGTGGTCCGTTTATGCGTTGTTCGACGAGATCAAGTCTTTACTGGAACAGCCATCTATTGGTCTCCACTGTGGCAGGATGGCAAACGGCGATAGAGTTTCGTCAACTACCCTTTGTTTGTTCCGTCGATCCACGACCCACAGCCCTTTCGGTTTACAGGAAGTGGGGAGCAGCTACTCACATCGAACACTCACGTATACACATTCGGACTCCCAAAAGGTCGGAGTCACCGGGTGTGGCAAATTGCGAGTCTGACCTGCGGGCCCCAACAAAGCCTGAACCGAAAACCCACCTAGCCTCCCATCTGGGCTTCGGGCCTTGCCCCCCCCCCCCCCCCCCCCCCGCAGAACAGCAGTTCTGATCTCTTGCTTTGTGCTGACCCGATGACTGCGATCAACTCGAGGTAGAGGTGGAACAGGAAAACCCCCCCCCCCCCCCACACACACACACACACACACACACACACTGGCATACGCTTAGGAAAACCCTAAACCCTATAGCCTCTAAACCCTAACCCCGCCAGCCATGCTTGTTACCTAACAGCCTGGCCATGGCTTTCAATCTAGGTTTGCGCAACAGCTAGACCCAAGAGTAACCTAGGAAGAAAAAAGGGTTTAGGGTTTATAAGGGTTTAGGCCGATAAGGAAATCTGATCCCCCAAACAAATAGGCCAGGGCTCGGCAGAATTGCGTTACCAGGGTCTGTTGGCACCCGGGCTGAGGGTCTGGGGTTTAGGGTTTAGGGTAAAGGGTTTAGTGCATGCAACGCCCCTCGTTTGAGGCTCTTATGCGCATGTAAACTGTGGAGCCTCAGAGATAGGGTACCCGAAAGGCAACCATCATCTGCACGCACCATCGACATCACTCGACCCACGCGGCTGTTCTAGGGTTCTTAAGGTAGGGGTTCGGGGGGGTATGTGACCCAAGGTTAATGCTCCCCCACTACTTCCTCTCTTAAGACTTCTGGCTCTTGGCCCTTAGACCATCGACAAGAATCCTAAACGAGGCTAAAGGCCCTAAGCCCTACTTGCCTACCTTCCAAGTTCCAAGAATAGGGGATGATATCGGTAGTGATTTACCAGGATGGGCTATGAGGCCCGATAATCCCCAGAATCAACCCTATTGTTAAGGGGCCTTTTCGGGGTTATCCTGGAAGGCTCCTGGGGGCCCGGAAACCCCAAACGTGCCTTTGCTGCCGCTCATGAGGCTGGAAATGGGCGGCAACGGCGGCGCCTGTGCTTGGGGTTTAGGGGTAGTGGGTGTAGGGGTTTTCAGGGTTTAGGATTGAGTTCTTGGCACCCACATAGCTGGACAAACCGCTCAGCAAGTCTCTGACGGTCTCACTGTCACTCTGTCACTCTGTCGCGACATCTCTCACGCCTCAAGAGCGCACCACACCGCTACTGGTAGCAGATGCGTCGTCCCCACTGCCCCCTCGTAGAAACCACACAAGACTACAACCCATACCCCTGCGCGCCGAGGAGACAGGTTAGCTGACGACGCGCTGTAGCCAGCACACACTCATGGCTAAGCCATCGTGCGTGGTCACCAAGCAACCCTCAGTCACATGTCTTGAGGGTCTAGACCCAGCGGAATCCTAGGAATAAGCAGGTTACCTTTTTTTGGTTATAAGGGAACCCCACCCCAAAAAAAAGGACATATGACATAAGGGCCTATTCCAGATCTTAGGGGTTTTGGGTTTAGCGTTTATAGGGCTTCTCGCTCGATGCTATTCGCTGCCGCAGGCTGCGTTTAGGGTATAGGGTTGAGACTGCACCCTAAACCTGAACCATTACCAAGTCCCCAAAAAACCTTAAACCCTAAACCCTAAACCCTAAACCCTATACTGTTGGGCCCGGATGCCTCGGGCACGCGGCACTTGGCGGGAGCTGCGGGCGGTGAGGGCGAGGGAGGCGCCTTGCGCTTGCCGGCCTCTCTGAGCAGCGGTTTAGGTTTAGGGTTTAGGGTTTAGGGTTTATAGGGTTTAGGGTTTAGGGTTTTTTGGGGACTTGGTAATGGTTCAGGTTTAGGGTGCAGTCTCAACCCTTTACCCTAAACGCAGCCTGCGGCAGCGAATTCTTGCTGCGGGTTTAGGGTTTAGGTTTTAGGTTGCAGGTTGCAGGTTTTAGGGTTAGGGTTGGTTTAGTGTTTAGGGTTTATAGGGTTTATAGGGTTTAGGGTTTAGGGCGGGGGTGTTTGAGTCTGTAGAGCCTTAGGCTTTAGGCGCTGATGGTCTGCTGGTTGGGGTTGAGGATGGAAGAATGGGTACAGTATCTGGGGCCGTCATTAAATTGTGAAAAACTCAGAGTGATGCGGGGAGCTTGGTGCCTTCAAGGCGGCGGCTTTGGCTTGGGGGTTTAGGGTTTAGGGTTTAGGGTTAGGGTTTAGGGTTTAGCTGTGCTCCAGTATCCCCAGTCTAAGCCGAAAGCTATCCGTTCAAGAACTAGTGCTTGCGCAAGCCCTGCTGCAGAATAGGTGGGTTTGGCCCTGGCCTCTTTAGACTCGAAGCTCGGGCTAGACAAGACATGCAACGGGAATCGCGGTATTCATGCCCTGTAAGGCGCTGAAAGTGCGACTATTCGCTGCTTCTTCTTCCATCAATCGGGATTGCAAGCTGGGGCGAACGTTATGTTGTTTGCAGATCCACATGCTTCACTTTGATGCAGCCAATCGCCAAGTCTGCTCAGACTTCTATGCCGATGTCCGCCCGCATCTTAGTGCAAATCATCCTTGATGATGCCATGGACAAGCAGTCGGTTTTCGAACATTCCTTGAACCACGAGCTTGAACCACTTCACAAGGCCCTCTGGCCGATGGAGCCTCAGCGGCTTCTTGGCTTCGATCTTTGCTTCGCCTGAGTCAGCAGCCAGATGCCAGCTCGAGCCATCCTTGGAGCAGTAGACCTTGCAGTGAACTTCTTCCGGCAGGTCCGGCTCGAAAGCGAGGCCGGTGAGATACACAGAACGATGTACCAGCATCCATGCCAAAGAGCCGGTATCCATCCGAACGGGTCGGATATGTGCGGCAAGGTCCTCTAAGAGGGCAAGAGAAACATTATCGTGCTCACGCCCAAGAACCACGTTCACCTGCTGACCCAAGAACGCCGAACCAGGTCGACGCATTGTCCATATCGATCTGAAGATATCCTCGCTGTAGATGGTGTCTATCTCGTATGGCTGCCCATGGTGAGCAATCAAGTATCCACGCTCCTCTTCAATTCGCGGGGCGCTGTCGCTGCAAGACGGCCTCAAGCAGTGTCATGTCTTCACCAACCTTTCGCTTTCTCCCCGAGTCGCAGGAGGACCAGCCCTTCATGATGACCTCGAGCTCTGAATTGCTGATGCAAAGGAGCCCAGGCTCGAGAATCTCCTGAAGCAGCCCCGGGCTTGGACTCAGGCCCGCTGATTTCAACGCCTCCTTGGCCTTCATCCATATCGTCTCCTTCCGGCATGGGCTGTTCTACCCTAAACCCTAAACTTTAAACCCTATAACCCCCCCCAAAAAGGCCCTTTAGAGGGTTCATTGTGGGGATTCTAGGGCCTACCAGGATGGGCTATAATACCCTATAATCCCCCTAAACCCTAAACCCTAAACCCTAAACCCTAAACCCTAAACCCTAAACCCTAAACCCTAAACCCTAAACCTAAAGGGCCTATTAGCCCATGCTCCTTGGCCCCTCGACGCAGGTCCGGCAGCTGGAAGTGCGCGGCCAAGGCAAAGAGCTAGCAGGCGTTCTCCGGCACCAAGCCTTTGGGTTTAGGGTTTAGGGTTTAGGGTTTAGGGTTTAGGGTTTAGGGTTTAGGGTTTAGGGTTTAGGGTTTAGGGTTTAGGGTTTAGGGTTTAGGGTTTAGGGTTTAGGGTTTAGGGGTTTAGGGGTTTATGGTGCCCCAAGCCTTTCTCGAAAGCCCGGCTGCAAAGCTCCTGGAGTCTGGTGACCTGGTACTTGTCCGCCAGGGCCGAAACTTCCACAAGCTCCACCAGGGGGCCCTCCACCGCCCCGGAATAGAGGAAGCGCAGGAAGGCTTCCACGGCCTTGCCGGAGAAGTCGCTGATGACCATCCGAGCCTCCTGGCGCTCCATGAAGCCCTCAGAGTGGATCATGCTGTCGAAGACCGGGGACCATCGGGTCAGTAGTGGAGACCACACCTTGAACTCCGTCTGCTTCACTTCCGACCCGCCCTCGCCTTGGACCTGCTCTTGCACGACCACTGTGAAGTCACCACCATGGCCAAAGCAATCCTTTAAGATATGTGCAAGGGAGGCAGTGTCCTCTTCCGCGGCCATGCTCGTGGCCATGGCGGAGGAGGCTTTCCTTGTGTTGAAGTATGCTAAGCCTCGGCTTCCTCTGGCCTAGAAGTGATCAGGAGTCATGTGGACATAACGTCGCCAAGTTCTCTGTTTCACGTCGCCACTGTCGTTCCCACTGATGCTGGAATGCCTGGGGAGAGGGTGGCCTTGTGGCCTTTCACTACTCTTGTGGGTTCAGCATGCCAACCCCTTTGCTCACAGGCTTCCTTGCACCTAAACCCTGGACATCATGATGCCTAAAACAAGAACCCGAGGAGCGTCTTTGCCTGCTACTATACTCCCCTTAGAACCCGAATAAAATAATATTTGTTAATATCCTCTTGGGTTTTACATAAACAAAAAATAGAAAATCATTCCCAAGGGGGATATAGGCTACAAGTGGAGACTTTGGTGCCGTGTACTACTCGCCCGTGCTGCCCCAAGATGTTGGCATGCGGTTCTGGATGACTTGAGTTCAACACGAGATGTCTTTGGTTTAACAAGAGAAAATAAGGAGCATCACGTCTTGCTGTTATGGCTCGGCAGTTCTGCCGGGCTTTTATCATCTATTTATCATGCCGGGCTGCTGCGTTGGCAAGTTTCCTAGCCAAAGCACAAACTGTTGAAATTCTCAATGCCTCTTGCCCCAGGGGATATCATTCAAATCCTAAACCCACAACCCCAAACCCTAACCTTAAACCCTAAACCTTAAATGGGGCTCTGGCCACACCGTTTTGGCGCGGAGGCTCGCGAGGCACTGCAGGAGCAACCTGTCGTGCAAATGCTACGCGTTGAAGCGCACCGTTCAACCTCAACTCCCTGACCTAAGCGCAGAAAAGTCTTTAAGTTCAGGGTTCAGGGTTCAGGGTTCAGGGTTTAGGGTTTAGGGTTGAGGGTTTAGGGTTTAGGCTGCAAACCCTGGTGTTGTTTCAGCCCTGCACCCAAGTATCAAAAAACAACCCTGAGTGGGCTCCAGAGGGGATCCTATTGAGGATGCGACTTGTCAGCGAAAGCGCAATTGAGTGTTGAACCCCTCCCCCGGATGATCTTGAGACACTACTCAACAAGTGTGTAACTGCAGGGTTTAGGGCTTCAGGTTGGGATGCTCCCCATTCTACGAACAGTCCTTCATACGGAATATACGCCCTTTTTTTACGCCCAATTCAGGACTGCTAGCATAGGAGGGAACATCCCAAGCTCCAGACCCTAAACCCTAAACCCTAAACCCTAAAGGAACTGCCAAGGCCTGGCAGGATGGTTTGCTTTGCGGCAGCTCAGGGGTTCGAACTTTTGGGCTTAGGGTTTGTGCTCTTGTCGCGCAGTGGTTGGAGATTCCCAAGTTCCGGGGCACGGGGCCCTAAACCCTCAACCCGAATTAAACCCTGAAGCCTAAACCCTAAACCCTAAACCCTAAACCCTAAACCCTAAACCCTAAACCCTAAACCCTAAACCCTAAACCCTAAACCCTAAACCCTAAACCAAACCCTAACCCCAGAACAGCTTCCAAACAGCGGCGCCTTGTCTTGGCGAGGGGCGACTGTCGCGAACGGAATCTCGAATCCAGCCTGGGTTGAAGTGAAACTGCTTCCTTGTTGGGGTTATATATTAAAAAATGTCATGTGTATTCCTTATTAGGAGTGTAGTATGACAAAAATGTACAATTGTGACCAACAAGGACCCAGGAAACCGAAGCTGTGGGTCCCCCAACTACCATATACCCTACCATTACGGTTAAAGGGTAGTTGGGGGGGAATAAAGCGGTCAAAGGGTATTTGGGGGGTGCTGGTTCGTGTCCAGATCGCTGCCGGAAGCTTGAGGGTTAGGGCATCTTGTGGCTATCCACTGAGCAAGGTGTTTAGGGTTCAGGGTTTAGGATTTAGGGTTTTGGGTTTAGGGTGGGTTTAGGGTTGGTTTACCGTTGGCAGGTGGGGCAAGTTGTTGGCGTTTATAGAGTTTGGAGAACGCGGATTCACAGCATCGTTAAGGGAGACCACCCGAAACCGAAGCCCCTGATGAAAAGTCTTAAAGAGACCATTCCGCTGATGGCCCGAGCTTCTTCTGTGAAGCTTTCTTGAAATCCTACAGGAAGAGCCCTACGAGGCGGCCTGCGGCAAGCGCCCTATGCCCAGTTATCCTTTAAGGGTCCATGTACCCACTATGGTGTCTACCTAGGCCTTAGAGGCTTAGGGTTCCTATTTGGTGGCTTTAGGGTTCTAGTATATGGGTGTTTCCCAAAATAGGGTTACCCCTTTTGTACCCCAAATAGAAAGAGAATTCCCTTAAAGAGAACCCCCCGGTACATGGAATCTTTGTGCCATCTGCTGTAGGGGCCTTAGAAATACGTAGAATAGGGTTTTTGTTATAGGAATAACTTCAAAGGGACAATCGTGGGAATACTATGAATCATTCCTCCGACACCTTTCTCTAAGATTTAGCTGCTCCGCCTTTCAAACCTTCTCGCGTCTGGTCTGCATCACCCAACCGGAGGAAGACAACGCAGTCTTCAGCTAAAGCAAAACCCTCCAGCCCTCCTCTTTGGAACCTGGCAGCTGCCTTTTGCCAGGTGGCGCCTCAAACCCACCCTTAACCCTTTTTGTTAGCCACAAACCCTCGACGATTTCAAGCCCTCAGTCGGATTTCGGGCTTGGAGAAGTCAGAAAATGAATAGGGAACCCTAAACCCTAAACCCTAAACCCTGAACCCTAAACCCTAAACCCTAAACCCTAAACCCAAACCCTAAACTCTAAACCCTAACAATGCATCAGAAGCCCTGCATACTGTGGCCGTTCAGCCCCCCCCACACCAAGGCCTGCAAAAGGAGCCCGTAGAGGCCTGCAGAGCCCGCCCACTAGAGACATTTCCACCAATTGTTCGAACCCGTACTTTGCCTTCTAAGTGCGTTGTTTTGGAAACCCACGACTGTCAACTCCTTTCGAACCCATTCCATAGGCAGTTAAACAGGACGACCCTCTAGAGCAAAACACCTACCATGAAGTCACTAAACCCTACCCTAAAGCTTCAAACCGTGCTTGACCACACCAAATGCCTCCACAACTGGAGCTGGACGCTTCCTGCTTCCAGATTCCTTGCTGGGGGTTTGAGGCTTTGGGGGTTTTGTTTTAAAGGGTTTGGGGCTGCTTTTTGTTGTCACCTGCCTAGAATTTGGAGTTTAGGGTCACACGGGTTTAGGGGCCCGTCTGGGGTTCAGAGGCTTCTATTCACAGCCCTAAACCCTAAACCCTAAACCACTCTAAGGCCTAAGCTTTTGGGCTCAAAGGGCTTTCTTTTTTGATGGCTCAGGATTTAGGCTTAGGCTGTTCACCCTTATACTAAGAGTCCTTCATACGGATTCTCATAGGGGGTACTATAGTCCCTACTAGTAGGGGCTGTTAGTAGAAGGGGAAACATTCCAAATTTGTTTTTTTACTTTAAGGGGCCTGCATAGAGCAGCACTCCTGCCAAAGAATTTGATCCCTCAACCTTCTAAAGGCCTTACCTGGAACCCCAAAGTATCTAAAAAAACCCAAAACCCCGGTTTGGGGGGTTTAGATAAGTCGAAACCCCAGCCCCTTCAACGGATCAGCGCGAAATCGCACAACACTCGCCAGACAGGAGCACTGGCCGAAAGCATGTGAGGGGCTGAGGAATTAGGGCTGAATACAGGAGCCTAGATCACAATAAACAAGTATAAATCCCAGCACGCTTCTAAAACAACTCCCCAAAACATACCCCTTCCATTCCCTAAGCCCAAACCCGACTACCGACAGACGCCCCTGTATGGGCTTTCTTATGAGCTCCTGGGTCCTCAGAATTTCCAAGGCCGTGGTCTGGGGTGTAGGGGCGGGGGGGCGAGTAGGGTTGTAGGGGCTTTCTTGAGGTGAGGGTTTACTTGAGGTTTAGGGTTTAGGGTTTAGGGTTTAAGGTTTGGGGGTTTCGGGCTGAGGGTTTCGAGATACATGAGGAGCCTTTGGGAAAGAGTCTTCTGGGGGGAGTCCCGAAGGTCAGCCACTGCCCACCACCCCAATGTATGGGCGGCTTCCGAGATTCAGGGGGGCTGTCGGGCTTGCAGGCAGGGTTCGTAGGGTTTAGGGTTTCGGGTTTAGGGTTTAGGGTTTAGGACAACTTCCAAGCTTTTTCAAGGTGTCCCCAAACCCTCAACCCAGCCCACAAGGTCGCGGCCGCGCCATTTTGGCGCGGTCGCGGAGTGCGGCCCTGCGCACAAGGTCTTCCGTGAAGTCAAGCAGGGATAAGGGGCTCTGAGGGTCCCTGTACCCAGAAAGTAGATACTTGGGCCTGAAACGGGTTCCTACTTCGCAGCTTTGGGCATTTTTCTGGGTACATGGACCCTTAGGGAATGAAACTTATGCTTTTAGGATTCTCATTTCGCAGGGTGACAGGGCAGCTGTTACCCTGCCTAACACCCTGACATCTTTCTGAAGCACGGACTGATGACCTGAAAACCCTACAGCACGTCCTTATAAGAAGGGTGTAGACTTGTAGAGGTAGGTACTTTCCTTCAGCAAGGGATTGTGTAGCACCCTTTTTCAACCAGTCCTGTGCAGAATGCCCCAAACCCCGATCCCGAAACCCCAAACCCTAAGCCTTGAACCCCTAAACCCTGAACCGCAAGCGCTTTTTCCAACTGGAGCCAGACCCTGAGCCCATAAGCCCAAACCAAAAGGCCTAAGCCCTAAACCCCAACCCTCCCCCCCAAGTTCCAGCACCGCCTTCGCAGCCGGGGGCGCCGGGGCTGCGGTTGGTGGCGGCGTGCGCTGCTTTGAGCTGGGGTCCTGGGGGGGTTTAGGGTTTAGGGTTTAGGGTTTAGGGTTTAGGGTTTAGGGTTTAGGGTTTAGGGTTTAGGGTTTAGGGCCAGGGTGAGGCTTGCACATGTCGCAGCTTCAGCTTTCGTTGTTTTTGCATTTCGTGGTTCGTTTTCTGGCAAGTCGACTTTGCGTTTTCCGGGTTCTACTTTTCATGTTCCTCATTTTTGTGCAGGGCTTTGGTTGTTTTCAGTTGATCGGCTGGTGCTTTTCGGAAAAAGTAGTTCCTGCAAGCCCCGAAACAAACTGCATGGCAAACTAATGCGGCAGAGATTTGACCCCCAGGTTTTTGGTGCATGATGCATGTTTTGAAGCTTTTCAGGCTTGAGGTTTTGGGCGGTGCGGTGCTGTTTTGGGGGCTTGCAGAAACTACGGTTGTGGAATACATGTTATGAAGCTTTTCAGGCTGCTGTCAACCTAAACCCTCAGCCCTCCTTTCCCCAAATCCTTGGGCCCTCACCACAAAAACCGAGCCCTAAATCCTCCTAACTAAGCCCAACAGCCCTGCCTCCTCCAGCCTCGGCAACGCCTCGCTGTCCTGCTGTCCGGACGTTGCGGAGTTTTTTAGGGCTGAAAGTGTATAGGGTATGGAGGGCTTATAGGGTCTATGGGTTGATATCGGGTTTGTAGGGTTTATCTACAAGGGCACCCAACCCCCCCCCCCCCCAAAAAAAAAAAAAAAAAACAACTCAAAAAAATCAATAAAAGTAATAGGGCACTATCCTAGGTACGAGGTTTGTAGGGCTTTACGGTTTACAGGGTTGAGGGCTTGGGTTGGGGAAGCGGGGGTTTGAGCCGGGTGCCAGCCCTGGGATCCTGGGGTTTGGACCCGGAGATAGCAAAAGCCACTCGTTTGCTTTGCTGGGTTACTTAGAAGTTCTTTCGACTTCGCAAGTCGACTTAGTACCCCCCACGAAACCTATGATAGTCCCTATAACCCACCTTGCTAACCCTACTTACAAAGTCGAAAGCACTTCCAAGTACTAGACCGGTTTAGGGTTGAGGGTTTAGGACTACCCCGTATCCTAGACCCAAGGGTAACCTAGGAATAGCAAGGGTGCCCGTTTTGGTTTGAAGGAACCTGAACCCTAAAATAAGGGAATCAGGGCCTACTCTGGGTCCTAGGTCAACCTAAGAATACCGTCATGGCTTTGATCATGACCTGCAAATGAAGAGTAGGATAGGGACATTTAATGGGAATCCTATAGCGCGAGGGCTTCTTGTGAGCATCACAATACTCCTCATCGTAAGAAGACTACTACAATGGCAAAACTCTCGTGGGCCCGGAGTCGGTTCTCCCCGCACAAGAAGTGCTTCAAAGGCCCTTTTACCCGAAACCTAGACTCCACCCCCGAAAGCCTCTAATATAGGGGCCTTAATAATCCGCCGAGGCCTCGGGCCGGAGGTGTTTAGGTTGTCAGAACAGGCACCCCCCTCCAAATCCTCCCCCCACACCAGCCCTTTTTCGGACCCCTTTTTTTGGCCTCAAATGGGTACCCCCCCTGGGAAACCGGGGTCCGCAAGCGGACGGTTCGCCAGGACCAGAGGTAGTTGAAGCCCCTCCCAGCAGGGCCCCCCGCCGTTGGTCACCACCCGCCCCCCCACCCCCCCCCACCCCCCCCACCCCCCCACCCCCCCCCCACCCCCCCCCACCCCCCCACCCCCCCCCCACCCCCACCCCCCCCCCCCCCCACCCCCCCCCACCCCATCCGCCCCACCCTACCCCCCCCCTCCCCCTCCCCCCCCCCTGCCCGAAGAGTCGCCTTAAACCTTAAGGGGCCCCCTACGATCACTCCAAGCCGAACCCTAAACCCAAAAAAACCCTCAACCCCAAAGCGTGAACCTTGAGCCCTAAACTAACCCTCAACCCCAAACCCCAAACCATAAACCATAAACCCGGAACCCTCAACCCTCAACCCAACACTTATTGCTTGGGGTCCAGCGACTTGGGCGCTGCGGAATCACCATGCTCACGCGGATGCGCTGGGCCGGGCCGAGGCGGGTCGCGTAGCGTTAAAATTAGAATAGGGTCTTGGGGATTCTTAGTGTTTTTATAAAGGGACCACAAGGGAATACTACTAAGCCCTGCATTAAGCCCTAAACTCTCCAGCCTGCAACTTCCGCAGGCGGCCCTGACAGGGGCGTCCAGGTATCCACTTCTACCCTTAAATACTTCAACACAAAAGGGCCACATGGTAGTTCTTCAGTGTACCTGACCCCCCAAAAAGGCAATAAAAGGCAGTATTGAAAGCAAGCACCTTAGGGTGTAGGGCTTAGGGGAGAGTCACAAGCTCTTAGTTTAAGGTTTAGGGTTTAGGGTTTAAGGGAGGCTACAGACATGGTCCCTTAATCTGTCCCCTTGCCTTCTCTAAAGAGTTCTGAAGTCTGGGCCCCTTGTGTTTTTTGGGTACATACGGGGTTTATAAGGGTTCCCATTTGGGCCCGTACTATAAGGGACCGTGTAGTTGCCCTAAGACTTAGGCTCAAGGCTAGGCACTTTGAAGGCCTTGGCTTTAGGGCCGAAACATTCGAGGCATGTATACCGCGTTCGTGTACCTTTGGGCTTGACCCTAAACCCTATGAACCCTATAAACCGTACTAACCCTGTAAACCCTATAACCCCTATAAACCCTCCAAACCCTCTAAGCCCTGTAAACCCTATAAATCCTCCAAACCCTCTAAACCCTGTAAACCCTAAAAACCCTAAGCCCCAAACCCTACTGCGTCTGCACGGGCAGCAGCTTCAAGGCGGAACCGAGGCCTCAAAAAGGGGTTCCTATATCGCAGTTTCAGGGCCCAAGTATGTACCATATCTATGACTTACTTAAGAACTCCCCTCTCAGAGACCCTGAGGCTGTGCACGGCAACCCGTTTTTGCTTCAGGGTTTAGGGTTTAGGGTTTAGGGTTTAGGGTTTAGGGTAAACCAAACCCTAGACCCTGCAGGCCTTGCGTGGGGGTGCAGGGGCTGGCACAGGCTGGGAACTCTCCTGGCTCGCTCAGAGTGCACAAGCGCTCTCAGGGTAGTCCCATGGTCCCTTTATATGGGCCCTTAGCATGGGACCCCTTATTCACCCCTCTTCTACTCCATGCTTAAGAACCCTTTACTATGAACCCTCTAACCCGGTAACCCCTCTAAACCCTGTAAAATCCCCCAAAACCATACAGCCAAAGGTGCTATCAATACGCCTAGCCAGTCCTGACCGAGCCCTGGACCCCTCAACCCGAAACCCGTAGCCATCTTGGCTCAAGAGATCTTAAGAGTCTCCAAAGCCCTAAACCCTAAACCCTAAACCCTAAACTCTAAACCCTAAACCCTAAACCCTAAAGCTTTCGGCTCAATCTCCCTCAATCAACATGCCAAACCTCCGCATGCCACCCTGCTGCTTGCGAGCTTGGCTCTACCCTAGGAAGGCCTGGGGCAACTCGGGCGGCTATGGATCGAACTTCAAAGGACAGTGCACACCTGAACCCGGAGTCCGAAGGTTTAGGGTTTAGGGTTTAGGGTTTAGGGTTTAGGGTTTAGGGTTTCGGGTTTCGGGTTTAGGGTTTCGGGTTTCCTGGGCCAAGGCCCCGCTGTCCCGAAGAGGTTCGACCGCCAGAGCCTCTGTGCGCCATGATCTGAAGTACAGTTCGGTGTTTAGGGTTTAGGGTTTAGGGCTTAGGGCTTAGGGTTTAGGGTTTCGGGTTTCGGGCTTAGGGTTGAGGGTTTAGGGCTTAGGGTTGAGGGTTTAGGGTTTAGGGCTTAGGGTCTAGGGCTTAGGGTTTAGGGTTTAGGGCTTAGGGTCTAGGGCTTAGGGTTTAGGGAGTACAATTCGGGGTTTAGGGCTTTAGGCTGGGACATTCCCTCTTATCCTGAAAGGTACCCAACAGTGAATTAATAGGGATTACAAAAGGGGTACAATAAGCCCCATTAGGGACTGCTAGTATAAGAGGAGCATCCCAAGCTTTAGGCTTGTGCCGATGTAGGGGTCCACTGAATTGGAATGGTATCGACTCCTCAGTACGCCATTCAAAATATGTGGCGCGGTTTAGGGTTTAGGGTTTAGGGTTTAGGGTTTAGGGTTTAGGGTAAAACTTCAAGCCGCAGCCGGGATCCCCTTGCGGCAAGCTTGGGTAGTTCATTGTGGGTTTCGTACTTTTGGGTCTAGGGCTTATAAAGTGCATTCCGATTAGCTCCGACCTTGCCCACCATGCGCATGGCCCCTTTTTTGGGTCCTCCATAGAGAGCGGCAAGCGTATCACAAAAAGGAACCCCGTAAAGAGACCCGAATACTCAAGTACTTGCGAGGACAAAGCCCTAGTACCCATATAGTATGTATGACATACATGGGCCTTAAATAGGCGTTTCTTGCTCACTGCTCACTACTCTTCGAAGGCACGGCTGTGGTGTGCTGAAGCTCGACAGGCCTATTAAGGAAATCGCGCCACTCTGTCAAGGAAGAACGACCTGTGAGACCAAAAAAGCTCGAAGCAACCATCCCTTTTGCATGCCTCATCTGCCCTGGCATGGAAGAGCTCAGCAAAACTCTTAGACCTAGCAGCCATCCCGAAACCGTGTAATCAAACCCTTCACACGAAACAACCTAAACGTACACCCTAAACCCTGAATCCTAAAGTACTGCCAACATGCCTCGGACTCATCCACCCACGGAATCTCGACGCCCTGGACGTGGGAGTAACGGGGGGGCGAGGCGGGCGAGGTAGCAGCGTGGAGGTTGCAAGATTGTGGGGTTGTGGGTTGTAGGGTTTTGGGTGTTGGGATCAGGGGTTCTAGGGTTGCTGCGTACAGACTATACACTCCCAGAACAGGGGACCCCGTTCATACACCCCAAGATAGTAATCCACATTACAGGAACCCCTTAAGAGGGGCCGCTATTTTTTCGGAAGCTTTCAAAGTGTCCATGGTTTAGGGGCTAACCTCCCACAATCCTGCGTCACAGTGAGATGACATCCTAAGCTTACCAGCCTCCTTGCGAGCCCAGACAGCAGAAAGGATCCGAACCATAAGAACCTCTAACCACCCTAAACTTACCTGGACTCTTTTCCTACAGTTTAGTAGCAACTACCCTGAATTAGTCGGTATGCCCCATACACCTATAGGTAAAGAGGGTCCCGGATAAACTCTAAACCCCAAGCCGCACAGTTATAAACCCTAAACCCAAACTCTTGTACCCTGACTTCACGGTTATTCAGTTCTACGCAGCTTGTCTCCAAGGAGCTTTTGCGGGACAGTCCGCAAGACCGCATGCACAAAAAGCACGATTCACGGCTTCACAAGATGTCACTTTTCTTGGGGGCTGAAACTGCTGATCCACTCGACTGCTAGAGTTTGCTAAGACCTGGACCATCATCGAACATTAGGAGATAAAGTTTCGTGCACGGACCGCAATGAGGTTTGGAGAGGGTTGCTTGGAATTTTGCTTTTGCTCGCAGTGTGTGACTGCACTAGGGCTCTGGGGATCTACCGAGTAATTAAATACTCAATACAATAATGTTCAAAACCCTGTGGCCGTTTTCGTCTACTATAGGGGCCGGATAATCAGAATATGGGCGATTATTAGTATATTTATAGAAGCACCATAAGGAATATCATTACCCACATATTAATCGGCTGTGGGGTATGGTCCTGAACCCGAGACCTGGCAAAGCCTCGAAACCTTTCGCCTATACTCCGCTTAGAACCTTAATAAAAACAATATTTAGGGTTTAGGGTTTCGGGTTTAGGGGGCTATAGTCGCCTCGTCACTGGCATTGGACACGATCTCCATGTCCTCGCACTGCAGCAGCGACCGCGCCCCATCCTTCCAACGAGGGAGGGGCGCACAAAAGGAAGTTGCTGCTTTCCTTTTTTTTTTTTTTTTTTTTGGGGGGGGGGGGGTCAGGTTTACAAGGATGGCCGTGAAAACCCCTCTGAGGAAAATGTTAAGTATGATCTTCTTCAACCCGACTAGGGAAAACATAAATTCCCTAGGGCTGCTAGTTTACAGTTTGGGTTTGAAGGGGTAGAGTAGAGCCACACCTAAACCCTGCTTCCGCTGTTGGGGGGGGGGGGGTGCCTTGGACGCTTAACGTCTATTCTGCGCGTGCTCTTTGTTTTCTTGGATTTTTCCCCGAAAACCAATTCTGAAATTGGGTTCTCGTTTGGCGCTTCAATGCGGAAGGCGTTCTATCGGATCGCTCCTTGGAGGGTCGGACGGAAAGGGGGTTCGGAACATTTTGCTGGAGATGTGGGGAGGCGTGGACCATGCAATTCGGTTGATGGGCAGGGGATATGGGGACACGTGGATGCCGCGCGCCCTCCGCGCCTTTCCGCCCTCTGCACGCTCCGCACCCTCCGTGCCCTTCGCGCCCTCCGCGCGCTCCCGCGCCCTCCGCGCGCCCTCCGCGCGCTCCTCCGCGCCCTCCCGCGCGCTCCGCCCTCCGCGCCCCTCCCCGCGCCTCGCATCTCCGCGCCCTCCCGAGCCCTCCGCGCCCTCCGCGCCCTCCGCGCCCTCCGCGCGCGCGCCTCCGCGCCCTCCGCGCCCTCCGCGCCCTCCGCGCCCTCCGCGCCCTCCGCGCCCTCCGCGCCCTCCGCGCCCTCCGCGCCCTCCGCGCCCTCCGCCTAGGACACAGTGCGCTGACAGGGTGCTTGCGTCTATTCTGCGGGTGCGTTGCGTCTATTCTGCGGGCGTTTCCTTTGTAAAGTATTTGTTTACAAGGCACGCACGTGCAGCATAGCCTTTAAGTGTCCATCTTACGGGGGGGGGGGGGGCGGGGAGGGGGGCAGAGACTGGTGCGGTCTGTGAAAGTTCCTCTTCAAAAAAGGCTTGAACATTTCAGGGTTCTTGCGCGGGGGGGGTTAGGGGTTGGGGGGAACCTAGGACTTTCTCTCAAGTGCCTAAACCCTAACCCTAAACCCTAAACCTAAACCGAAACCACCAAAGGTTGAAAACATCGGCCTTCAGATCCTCTAAGCCACCGTCCGCCTCGTCGGAGGACATCTCCTAGCGCGGAGGCTCCCGCGACGTCCCCTGCCTTACTGTACACCTCTTAGAACCTTAGTGAAAAATAATATGTTTAATATCCTCTTGGGGGTTATATAAACAAAAAATAAAATAGTTCCCAAAGGGGATATAGTTTAATTCTGAACTGTGATTACGACTCATCGTGCCAGCAACGTGCTGTTATAATGGTTCTTAACATCCTTGGTGTGTCCCATTACTACTCATACTCGTCGCTTCGTGGATGTCGTGATGTTCGCCCTATAGGGTCCTCGACTCTCGCACTTGTGCACAGTTCCAGGCCAAGCGAGTCGATGGGCAGCAACCCACTATCTAAGAGCAACAGTTTTGGATGATTTCCCCTTATGCTAACAGCCCTTGATAGGGATTATCATATAAGGGGATACTAAAATCCCTATGAGGCTGTTAGTAAAAGGGGGAACATCCCAAGCAACAGTTGATGGCCAGAAATTTCGTCATGACGCTCACCTTGTTCACCCTATTGCAGAGACTTCAACTACCTCAGCAACAGGACCTATAATCGGCTTCGCACCAGAAACCGCACCAACAGTCCTCCAGCTGCTTTACTCTACCTGGGACCCTCTTTGCCTACAGTTTTATGGGCTATGCCTGCGAATCAAGGCGTAGGTGCTCCACTTCCTCCCCGACCCACCCGTGGGATTTAAGCAAGCTAGTGGACTACAGGCCCTCTTGTCTTCTGGAGTTGATTCCGAACTTGAGTCCTGAAGTGGCTTTCTGAGTTTTCCAGACCAAAGATGGCAGGTTTTTCTAGCAAGACCCACCTGGGGGCCCTCTTTACCTGCAGTTTTATGGGTTCTACTGCAATAAGGGTAGCATACTAATTATACGGGTAGCGACTACTGAACTGTAGGTACATAGACTCCCAGGAAGAAGCCCTAAACTCCACCCCCGACTACCCTGGAAGCTGTCCTCATCCTCAGACATCAGGCCCAACGCAACGAGCTGCGACTTCATCGGCAGCCGTTCTAAAGCCTCCGAGTTAGCACATCTTTGGGTCTTGGCAACGCTTAGCGGATCCCTTGCGTCAAGCAAGCAACGCACCAAAGCGCTGTGCAGAGTTTAGGGTTTTGTTTGCCGCCCGTTTGGGGTCTAGGGTTTAGGGCCGTTCAGGGCTAAGATGTACCTTTTGGGATGCTCTCTCCCTTATACTAACAGTCCAAAACAAAGAAACAACCAAGCCCCAGTCAAATCCTACAGCCTCTTTGCATCTCCAAATCCTGCAGCTTCACCCCTACACCCTACACCCCACACCCGAAGCCCTAAACCCTAAACCCTGCACCCCAAACCCCTGACACCCGAAACCCTTTTGCAAACCAGGCCTCTGTCCATCGCCGGGCACTTACACCGAAGCCCTGAACCCCGAAACCTTAGGCCCAAACCCGGAACCCCAATTCAACCCCCAAGCCTCACAGTAACCCAAACCCTCAACTCCAAACCCCTCCCCCTAAAACCTGAACCCCCCCCCTCCCCCCCGCCCCCCCCCCGCCCCCCCCCCCCCCGCCCCCCGCCCCCCCCCCCCGCCCCCCTCCCCCCCCCCCCCCCCCCCCCCCCCCCCGCCCCCGCCCCCCCGCCCCACAAAAAAAAAAAAAAAATCCCAAAACTCAGCCTCCGGGGCCAGTTTGGGCAGCCCCTTGGGCGCTTTGGCAGCAGGTTTGGGGATTTGTGCCTCTGCCGTCGCGTGCGCTGAAGAACTTGGGGTTTAGGGTTTAGGGTTGAACCCCGGGTGCACACCTGCATAAAAGCTAGGGTGTAGGGCTTACCTGGAACCCTCTTTACCTAAAGTTTTATGGGGTATGCCTACTAACAAAGATTAACTCAGGTAGCTACTACTCAACTGTAGGTAGCAAGCGTCCCAGGTAGGGTTGAGGGTGGTGATCGGGGTCTGGTTGTTGGCACCTATGGTTGGGTCTGATGATCCCAAGGCCCTGATTCAGGAATGAACTTCGACAGCCCTATGCCGGACCGCTCAATTGTGCGGCTTGGGGTTTAGGGATTGGGGACTTAGGTTTTAGGGTTTAGGGTTGGCAGGGTTTAGGGGTGTAGGGTTAGGGTTTAGGACATTAGACACGCAACCTGAATCTGGCAACCCCTATACATACAACCCCGAAGCATAGAACTGCATCTCGAACTGTCAAGTACCCTTGAACTGCACCGTCCTCCTCAGAACCTGCCATCCCATGAGTAGCCGCGACTTTTTGTCTGTCCCAAACGTAGTCCTCACATGTTGCAAGCACCAGCCCCGGGCTTGTAACTGCCCCTCATGTCCCGAAGTGGGGGTTCAACTTTAGGGGAAAGGGGTACACTGGCATGCTTAGTTCTCTACATGCGCCCCTATAAACCCTAGACCCCAAAAAACCCAAACAGGGACCCGCATTTAGAGAACTGCCCAGATGGCCGCCTCGTCTGGGACAGGATCCGCTTGGGGCTGTCCAGTGTCTGCTGGAAGCACTGCCTGAGGGTTGGTCTGCATCGAATTTAGGGCTTTCGGGAGCTAAAGTCCGTTGTGAGTCTTGGTAGCCTGAAAACCATATTCTAAGAAGGATCCCCCCTTTTTGGGGGTTGGTTACTGTACAAGGGAACCTTGAACCAATCAAAAGAGCGCAAAAGGGCACCACTGGGCTTCCCAAGGGTTTAGGGTTTATAGGGTTTAGGGTTTAGGGTTTAATTAGGGTTTAGGGTTTAGGGTTTATAGGGTTTAGGGTATAGGGTATAGGGTTTCGGGATCTTTGGGTGTAGGGCTTAGGGTTTAGGACTTCGTCCTCGCCACGAAGCTGGCAAGGACTCAGGCGGTCTGGTTCTTCTTGATGTCCGTTGCCCCGGTTCTCCGACAGCCACGTGAACCCCAAACCCTAAACCCTGCGTAAGGGTTTAGGGCTTACAGGGCTTGCAGGGTCTGTTGGGCTCGCATGTGATGGTGCCAAACCCGAGCCCTCCCTGTTCTACTTGAGCCTTGAGCCCGACATCCTGGCGGGCGGTTAAAGTCCCTAAACCCTAAACCCTAAACCCTAAACCCTAAACCCTAAACCCTAAACCCTAAACCCTAAACCCTAAACCCTAAAAGGACGGCTTCGGATGTAAGATGTAGGGGATGTGCCTCCGGCGCCTCTTGGTTGGCACCACCAGGCTCGGGCCGCGAGGGTGTTTGCAGCGCAGGGGCCTGCCATGAGTTTAGGGTTTAGGGTTTAGGGTTTAGGGTTTAGGGCGTATAGAGGGCCCCTTTTTTGGTGAACCCGGGCTCTCTGAGGTAACCCTAAACCCTAAACCCTAAACCCTAAACCCTAAGTCCTAAGCCGGACGCCCTCAGCCCTAAGCCCTTAGCCCTAGAACGACCTCGGGCCAGAATTCCAGGGCTTCGGGCTTGGGGGTTGCATCCGAAGAGCCAGGCTCATTTTTCTCCACTCGCCTAGCTGACCTTTCGGTCACTCCTCAGGGAACTATCTGGCAATGGCGTTTCCGGAAAAGAACACTACTCTTGTGCTGCTCAAGTTCGTGGCTGAGCTTCAGGGCAGTCCAAAGAGCCAGGGTTCAGGGTGCAGGGTTTAGGGCTGTGTAGGGTGCGGAGCCTTGAGGGCCCGAAACCCTCGGAACCCTCTGAAGCCTGATCCTTATACACCCTAAACCCTATAGACCCTAAACCCAAAAACCCTAAGAAGCCTGATCCATACACCCTAAACCATATAGACCCTAAACCCCAAAACCCTCAACCCTAAACCGATGGTGACGAACTAGGCTTGCAGCGCACCAGGTGCCATATGAACCATGGCCCCGCCTTCCTTTCGGGGTCTTCGACTCTCACAACTAGCAAGGCTCCAGATGTCCAACACAAGATACAGTTACTTTAAAGGATTATGTAAGCATCTCAAGAAAACCCTGATACAGTTACTTTTGGGGGTTTAGGGTTCGGTTCGGAGATTTCGGTTGCTGTTCGAGGCTTGAGCCTGTTCTGTGAGCGATGTGGGCGTCTGGTGGACTGACCCCTCGCGCCAGTGTCGAGCAGACGTGGCGCGATCTGAAAACCTAAGTCCTGCAAACCCTCAACCTCAAAAAATCCTGGGTATACTGGTACATGAGCCTTTTAGGGCCCCATGTTCCGGTATAGTATACACTTGGGCCTCAAAGGACCTCCCAGATAGCAACTTCAGGGCCAAGTACCTAGGATACAGGTGCACGAAACGTTTCGGGGAGTCGAAACAACAGTGGCTTGTCTGGAATAACCGAAATGGTGGTTTCCGAGATTGGGTTTAGGGTTTAGGGTTTAGGGTTTAGGGTTTAGGGTCTTTCTAAGGGAATTCTAGTATTTGGGGTCTCTGTTATACGGATCCCCTAGTGTCGTACACCCCCCCAAACTCGCACCTTGCGTGCATCGGCGGCCTCCCGCACGCGCGCGGGCCGAGGGCAAGGCTCCACCTCGTCCCGGTTTCTCCAACAGCAGTCTAGAAACGTGTAAAAAACATATGTATATATATATATATAGATAGATATATAGATATATAGATATATAATATATGTATATATATATAATATGTATATATATGTATATATATATGTCCTTCGGGCTCTGAAAGTGCAGCAAGGAGCTATAGCATGTACCTAAACCCCCAAAGTATGCAACACAACGGCACTCTTCATACTTGGAGGGGTCTCGGTAGTCTCTGGGCCCCAAGGAACTTGTTTTGAGGGTGATTTTGGCAAACTGACAGGCCATCTCACAGCCTGTGATGAAGGGCGTGATGGACGGGCTATAAGGCGCCTTTCAAACTCGAGCACGAAAGCTTACCCGCCAAAAATACCTTGAACCCTAAACCCTCTAAACCTTCTAAACCCTAAGCCCTGAACCCTACGAATCCGCCAACCCCTACAACACCCCCTACAACACCCCACCGCCCCAAAACTACTATTTCCTGTAGCCTCGGCAGCATCCTCATCGGACAGCACGCCCAGGTCAGCGAGCTGGGACTTCAACGTGTGCCGATCTGGGGCCTGCTCTCTTGAGCAGCTTTACGGGTTTATTCCCCCTGGTTCTTCGTAGGGAATGAGGGAAGTAAGTAGGGGCCTATGTACACCCTTTGAGGGACGATCCGGGGCCTGCTCTCTTGAGCAGCTTTGCGAGTTAGGGCTGATGGGTTGGGATGTTCCCCCTGTTACTAGCAGTGTCATTTATAGGGACCTTTTACTAGCAGTGTCTTTTAAAAAGGATTATAAACCAGCGGGGTACTGCAATCCCCATTCAGGACTGTTAGTATAAGGGAGGAACATCCCAAGCTTAGGGATGATAGGGTTCAGGGTGACCAAACGTGCAGTTTCCCTCTCTTCTTTTCGGGCAAGGAAAGGGGAGGCAAATCGTGGCTTTCAGATGCCGCCCTCAACAAGGAAGCCTGTGAAAAAACTTGTGGGGCTGGGATCCAGGGAGCTTTTGTGGCCTTTAGGGTTTAGGGTTTAGGGTTTAAGGTTTAGGCTCGAAAGACAAAGCAAACCTCCAAGAAGGGACCACCCAGCTGGGGGCCTCCATCGGCTGCGTCGCTGTCTCCTGCCGCCCCCATGCAACCTGCGGCTGCACTTGCTATACTCAGAAGGTCGATTTGAAGCACCATGAACCCTAAACCCTAAACCCTAAACCCTAAAAAAAGTGATCGCAAAACCATACCAAATTAGGGCGTTTGGGTACCTAATCTCAGAAAAGTACTATAAATGGAGCCTCTGGGTATGCTACGGATACGCGCGACTTTTTTTGGGGGTTCCTTGGCTGTGAACTCGCGAGGGCACCCTAAAGCCTACATGCGACCCCTCCTCCCCTCACCTTAAACAACATCCGGATGCATCCCGCTCTTTCGGCTATGCACTCTTCCATGCACATCACTTATAGGGACTCTGCCAAAAAGAGGGCACACACGTGTGGGGGTTCAGGAACCCGCAAGGTGCGGAAGAAAACTGCACCGCATGAGCTCCACAGGCCTCACTGGTAGGAAGCAGTGGCTCCAGGCTGCGTTGCTCAACCGCGTTGTTCTCGGCCTCGCGGAGATTTGCGTGCACTGGGCTTACCAGCCATGGGGCACCCGGGTGCAGGGATGCAAGCTGCCGTGGTTGGGGTGTTTAATGACCTAGGCCCGCCCCCAAGCTGCAAGTCTCTCCCTCGTGAAGGCCCTCTTTTTACGACCCAGACACCGCCTCGACGACAAAGAACTCTTCATTCTGCAGGCCTCCAAAGCATCAAACGCGTCCCACGCGTCTTCCACCGTGGCATTCGCAGCCGCCTGCGAACAGGGATTCTTCACTTTAAACAAATCGCAGTTGCGGAGCCAAGCAAGGGAAGCACGGAAAGCGGCTATAGGCTCTGGTCCCGTATTGCAACCCCAATAGAGGCCCGAACCCCTCCGCCCTGAATGCCCCTTCCGCTGCTGCCACCAGACTCTTGCCCAAGTGGCTGCAAATGCTCCCACGAGACCTCCCACATACCTCGAGCTCCCGTAGCCCCCCGCGAGCGCACAGCAACACAAAAAGAGCTGCTGGGTATTCAGGGTATCATGGGTCCCGCCCTCCCCAAGATTGACTCAAGTTGTACGGACTTTGCAGGAGATGGAAAAAGCCTCCGGCGCTGGATTTGCGCTGAGCGGCTCTTCTGCCTTGTCCTTGTCCGGGAGTTGGGAATTTCAGGTTTGGTACTGAGGGTTCACAGTTATGGCCAAAGCTACAAGTTGCTGTCCCTTATTGAAGCCTTATTGTGCTTTGGATTTGCAGCTGCTCCAGCTCCAGTTAAGTCCTTCAGTCCTTCCGTTGCTCTCCCTCGCGAACAATATATGACTTACAACTTCAGTCCGGCAGCTTATGTCATCTTATGTCTTTACTCCGTCGCTCACCGTGCTCTCGCTCGTGCACGACGGCGCTGTATATAGGACGCGGAGAAACGTGGTACAGATAAGCGCTTCGCACTTTGCAATACCTTGCAATGCTTAACATAATACGACCACGACAGACAACACTTCCTGCTGCAAGCCTCCAAGGCATCAAACGCGTCCCAGGCGTCTGCCACTGTGGCATTCGGAAACGCCTGCGCACAGGAATTCTTTAAACCCAATACCAACATATCGCAGTTGCGGAGACAAGGTATTGGGTTTAGGCGGTTTAGGCGTTTAGGGTTGTTAGCAAGCGGCTTTCAGGAACTAGTCGGGGATTTAAGATTGGCCTTCTCCTGCCTCCAATTCCTAGCCTCCCTGATAGAGGCGATTGGCGACCCAGGGAAGATGCCTTGGGCTTCTGGGTATTCAGGGTATCATGGGTCCCGCCTTCCCACAGATTAACTCAAGCTGGACAGTTATACGACCTTGCAGGAGATTGCCAGCCTCCGGCGCTGGATTCGCGCTGCGCTGCTCTGCTTCCTTCTCCTTGTCCTGGGCCTCCAGGCTCAAGGAAATAGGTGGAGAGTTTCAGGGTGTTTCAGTTTTTGTACTGAGGGTTCACAGTTTTCAACATATATTGGCGCTGAGGATTTTTGGCTGGCCCCAACCTGCAAGTTTCAGTCCCGCATTGTGCTTCGTGTTTGAAGGTGCACCAACTCTAGATAAGCCCTTCCCCCACGCTCCCTCGCGAACAGAATGTGAACTTACAATCTCAGTCCGGCCGCTAATGTCTGTACTCCGTCGCTCACCGTGCCCTTGCTCGCATGATGGCGCCGTAGGACATGGAGAAACGTGGCATAGACAAGTACTTCGTATGCTGATGCGACCCCGACACGGTATCGACGAGAGACAATACTCTTCATTCTGCAAGCCTCCAAGTCATCAAACGCGTCCCAGGCGTCTGCCACCGTGGCATTCGGAACCGCCTGCGCGCGGGAATTCTTTAAACCCAATACATGCAAATTATCGCATGTGAGCCAAGCAAGGGAAGCACGGAAAGCGCCTGTGTATCCGCAGATATTCTGCCCCTGTCAGAGACATTGTCTCGGTTTGAAACGCTTTAGTCCCGAAACCCCCGCCCTGAACGCTTCTCCCCTTGCCGCAACAGACCTGACCCAAGTGATTTAAACCGCGTGCCCGAGACCAGGTACATCGTGTTCCAATAGCCACCTCTTGCGAACTGAAACACAAAATGAGCTGCTGATAGGCTAGGCATTCGGGGTATCATGGTTCTCGTCCTCCCCAAGATCGACTCAAGTTCTACGGACTTTGCAGGAGATGGAAAGCCTCCGGCGCTGGATTCGCGCTGAGCGGCTCTGCTTCCTTCACCTTGTCCTGGGCCTCCGGGCTCAAGGAAGCAGGTTGGGAAGTTGGGAGTTTCAGGTTTGGCACTGAGGGTTCACAGTTCTCAACGCATCTCGGCGCTGAGGATAGCTAATTAGCGCCATGGCCCAAGCTACAAGTTGCTGTCCCTTATTGAAATCCCCTATTTGTGCTTTGGATTTGAAGGTGCCCCAGCTCTAGTTAGGTCCTTCCGTCGCTCTCCCGCGCGAACAATATATGACTTACAACTTCAGTCCGGCTGCTTATGTCTTTACTCCGTCGCTCACCGTGCCCTCGCTCGTGCACGACGGCGCTGTAGGACGTGGAGAAATGTGCTTCGCACTTTGCAATACCTTGCAATGCTTAACATAATACGACCACGACAGACAACTCTTCATGCTGCAAGCCTCCAAGGCATCAAACGCGTCCCAGGCGTCTGCCACCGTGGCATTCGGAACCGCCTGCGCACAGGAATTCTTTATGCAAAATATCGCATGTGCGGAACTAAGCAAGGGAAGCACAAAAAGCGCTTGTGTATCCTTTAGATATCCACATGAATTCTGCCCTCTGTCATAGACTCTGGTCTTGTTTTTACACCTTATACAGGCCCGAAACCCTGTCCTGAATGCCCCTTCCCCTGCCTCTCTTTGCTAAGTGATTTTAAAGTGAGTGCCCGATACCTCCCACATGCCGCACGTTCCCATAGCGCACTGTGCAAAAGGCTGGGTATTCAGGGTATCATGGGTCTCGTCCTCCCCAAGATCGACTCAAGTTGTACGGCTACGACTTTGCAGGAGATGCAAAGCCTCCGGCGCTGGCTTCGCGCTGAGCTGCCCTGCTTCCTTCTCCTTGTCCTGGGCCTCCAGGCTCAAAGTAGCAGGTTGGGAGTTACAGGTTTGGTACTGAAGGTTCCCAGTCCTCAAAGCATCTTGTCGCTTAGTGTTTCTAGCTGGCCCATGCTGCAAGTTTCAGTCCCTCATCGTGCTTTGGATTTGAAGTCTCGCAAACAAAATCTGAACTTCCAACTTGAGACCGGCCGTCTGTACTCCGTCGCTCACCGTGCCCTCGCTCGCATGACGGTGCTGTAGGACGTGGAGAGAAAGAGGTACAAATAAGCGCTTCGCACATTGCAGGGCTTGACAAAATTGGACCCACACACGGGCTCCACGACAGAAAACTCTTCATTTTTGCAAGCCTCCAAGGCATCAAACGCATCCCAGGCGTCTGCCAGCGTGGCATTCGGAACCGCCTGCGCACAGGATTTCGAACCCAATACATGCAAAATATCGCAGTTGTGGAGCCAAGGTATTGGGTTTAGGCGGTTTAGGTGTTTAGGGTTGTTAGCAACCGGCTTTGAGGAACTAACCGGGGAATTATGATCGGCCTGCCTCTGCCTCCAATTCCTAGCCTCCTTCATATTAGTTAATCGGCGACCCAGGCACGATGCCTTGAGCCTTAGCTGCTGGGTATTCAGGGTATCATCCCGCCCTCCCCAAGATTAACATAGATTCACTCAAGTTGTACGGTTACGACTTTTCTTTGCGGGAGATGGAAAGCCTCCGGCGCTGGTTTCGCGCTGAGCTGCTCTGCTGGCTTCTCCTTGTCCTGGGCCTCCAGGCTCTCCCTAAACCCTAAACCCTAAACCCTAAACCCTAAACCCTAGGTAGCAGGTTGGGCGTTTCAGGTTTGGTACTGAAGGTTCACAGCTTTCAAAACATCGTGGCGCTTAGGATTTCTAGCTGGCCCAAGCTGCAAGTCCGTCCCATAAGAACTGATTTTGCACCAGGGCTCTGAGGGTTTAGGGTTTAGGCCTGATTGAAGACTGTTGCACGTTTTGTGCCCAAGCTGCAATGAGCTCCGCAAGCCAATGCTACAGCAAAACCGCAAGAACTCAATACTTCTGGTACGAGTAGAATCCGAAAATTTCATCAGTGCGGCCGCAGGAGTTCCCACTGTGCATTCAAGACCTGAATTTCGGCTCATGCTGAAGGGGCACACACCGCGGCAAGAAGCGGAGGTGCTGGGTACGCTGAAATCACTGCAAAGCTTCGAACAACTAGGGTTTAGGGTTTAGGGTTCAGGGTTTAGGGTATTTCAGGCAACTTCTATAGGAGGAAACGAACTTGCTGGACCCCCAAAAAGCAAGACAACTCTTCCTTTCACAAGCCTCCAAAGCCCCAAATGCATCCCAGGCATCCGCCACAGTGGCGTGCGGAATCGCCTGGGCCAAAGCAATTTTCCCAGAGGGCCCATTCGAATTACTATTATGGAATTAGGCACCCCAAAACCCTATTTTGTATGGTTTTTGGGTACCTAATTCCATAATAGTAATGCAAATGGACCCTCTGGGTTTTGAAATCCAACATGCAAGAGATGGGTTTCCCAGTGCCAAGTTAGGCAAACACGGAAAACCCCTCCAAATTCTCAGGCATCCACATGATTCCCGTCATAGACTCTAAGACACTCACCGCCCAAGGGCTTAGGGCGAAAGTCCCAGGGTGGCCCCCAACAACCCTCACGGCTCGCAGAGCATCCAGCCTCCGGCGCTGGACTAGCGCTGGGCTGCTCCGTTGCCTTGTCCCCGGCCTCCAGGGTTAGGGATAAATGTGTGTTTAGGGTTTTAGGTTTTAGGGTTTAGGGTTTAGGGTTAAAGCATCCCTGGGTGAGTTCTCACCCAGAGAGTAAGCTAGGAATCAAACCGGGTTGCCCTTTCTGGTTTGAAGGGGCGTTCTAAGGGAACCCGCAACACAAAGGGAACAAAGGCCTGCTCTGGGTCCTAGTCTCTAAATTTTGGCCCCTTTTGGGGTTACTATTATAAGGCGTTAGAAGGCGTTATCGAGGGTACCCAAAAAGGAACAGAATCTTGAGAACTGACCATTTTTAAGCTTATACGGCTTGCTATTCAAGGTAACAGTCCCTTGTTGCATCTTGTTGCGCTTAGGATCAGAAGGTGCCCCTTAGAAGCTGTGAGTCTCTTTCTTGAACCTTACCCAGAGGGTCCATTTGTATTACTATTATGGAATTAGGTACCCAAAAACCATACTAAATAGGGCTTTGGGGCACCTAATTCCATAATAGTAATACAAATGGACCCTCTGGGTTACGAGCTTCCAACTTATCTGCAGTCCGGCCGCTAAGAATCTCTATTCCGTCACGACACCGGCACCCTCACTGGCGTAACGGCGCTGAAGAGCGCAGACAAAAACACATAAGTGCTTCGCCATGAAAACTTGGGTGCTTCACAAACCTGAACCCTAAGCCCCAAAAACCCTAAACCCTAAACCCCAAAATCCCTAAGTCTCATAGAGGAGCCCATCCTTAAGGCACTACCTCTCCACTGCGAGCCTCCAAAGCATCAAACGCATCCCAGGCATCTGCCACTGTGGCGTCCGGAACGGCCTGGCCATAGGAATGACTTTGCGAAACGCAAGAAACTTCATTTATCGTACCTTTTATGTACCCAAAAGCCCTTTTAGTATGGGTTCTGGGCACGTTAGTGCCAGTTAGGTTTGAGGGTTTAGGCCCTACACCCTAAACCCTGAACCTTAGACCCTACACCCTAAACCCTAGACCCTACACCCCAAACCCCAGGGTCGGGTTTAGGTTCCCCAATGGATACAACCGACGCATGGCTTGCACGACGTGAAAGCCTCCGGCACGGGATTCGCGCCGAGCCGCTCCGCTGCCTTGTCCTGGGCCTGCAGGGCGTCAACTAGGGTTTGGGGTTTAGGGTTTAGGGTTTAGACTGGTCTTGGAGGTTTTGCTGCTTAGGGGCTGCTTTCCCTCCTGCACAGCTGGGGCGAATCCACTTAGGGTTGATGACGAAACTACTTGACTGGCTATACTCACTCCCCTCTCCTCAAACCTGATCTTGCCATTCACTCACACTTGACACAACCCCAACTTCATTCTCGCGAGGTCAGTCTGTCTGTGCGTGGCCAAACATCCTCGTTTTCTCAGGGGTTAGGGTATAGGGTTTAACTTTAGGTGTTACTAAGTGAAGTGTACCTCTAAACCCTAAACCCTAAACCCTAAACCCTAAACCCTAAACCCTAAACCCTAAACCCTAAACCCTAAACCCTAAACCCTAAACCCAGCCTGAGGCCTGAGCTATGGGGCATCCAGGTCTTCCCTCTCAACTTCATTCTGGGATCCCTACTTGGAGGTTCATGGTACTCATTAACCAATGAAAACTCTACTTATAGCCTACTGATAAGCCCCTTAAGTGCCCTAATATAGTCGGGATAAACGTACAGTGATTATTGGGTTAAGTACCCTGAACCTCCAAGTAAACCCTAAACGCCTCAAGGTACCCTAAACCCCCTAACCCCCTAACCCCCTAACCCCTTAAACCCCTAAACCCCCACGCCCCTAAACCCCTAAACCCCCTAAACTCCTAAACCCCCAAACCCCTAAACCCCTAAACCCCTAAACCCCTAAACCCCTAAACCCCTAAACCCCCAAACCCCTAAACCCCTAAACCCCTAAACCCCCAAACCCCTAAACCCCAAACCCTACACCCTAAACCCTAAACCCTAAACAGGTGCGGGGGTGCCTCGAAGGCGTCGAAAGGGTCCCAGGCTTCGGCCTCCGCATCCTCGGGGTCCCCGGCCTCTTCAGACGTGGGGGGGGCTCTTTGAGGGCTTAGGGCTGGGGTTTAGGGTTTAGAGCTTATAGGGTTTAGGGTTTAGGGCTAGGGTTTAGGGGTTTAGGGGTTTAGGGGTTTAGGGCTTAGGGGGTTTGAGGGTGTGGGTTTTAGGGCTTAGGGGGTTCAGGGGTGGGGGGGGGGGGGGGTTTTAGGGTTTAGGGTTTAGGCGGGGTTTATTCGGGGGTTGCGGGGATAAGATAGGGTTAGAGGGCTCAGGGTTTTAGGGGGCCGGGGGGGGGGGGGGGGGGGGTCATTAGTGTTGTTTGAGCTTTTTTGGGGGGCTAGGGTTTATGGGGTATAGGCCACAGGGTTTATAGGGTTTTAAGTTCACAATGTAGGGTTACGTTCCAGTCATGATGTGGCAGCTATAGGGTTTGAGGGTTTAGGGCTTCTGGGGCTTGCTGGGGTTTAGGGTTTAGGGTTTAGAGTTTAGGGTTTAGGGTTAGGGTTTAGGGTTTAGGGTTAGGGTTTAGGGTTTAGGGTTTAGAGTTTAGGTTTTAGGGTTTAGGGTTTAGGGTTTAGGGGCTGTAGGGTTTAGGGTTTAGGGGCTTTAGGGGGTGTTGGGGTTTGAGGGTTGGGGGTTTGAGCGGGTTTTACATGCCATAGCCTCAAACCTCACAAGGCAAGCAACCATCACTCCCCTAACAATTTTGGAGGGCTCTAAACTATGGGGCCTTCAGGAAGATTCTGGTGTTGTATGCTCCTTGTAGTGTATCGGGTATCAAAAGCTTCCGGGACTCCGCACGACCGCCATTTTTCAATCTTTGTAAGCCCGAAACCCTTGACCACGAAGGGGCTAGGGTAGTAACATAGGGTTAAAAGAGGTTTGGGGGCTGGAAAGTTGGGGGCTTGGGTCCTAAACCCTAAACCCTAAACCCTAAAACACTAAACCCTAAACCCTAAAACACTAAACCCTAAACCGGATTTTCGCGCAGCATCTCAGGGAGAGCAACGGGTCTTGGCAGGGTGTTTTTGAGATTTTGGCAGGCTCAGGTGTTTACGTGCACTGAAGGTTGGGCCTACACGTTCCAGGGTGTGCTATTTCAAAAACAGAAAAAGATTTTTTAAAAAAGAAAAAACATGAGTTACTTAAAGCAATGTATGTATGAACGAACGCCTTCGCCGCAGTGCGTTGGTGTTGTCTTGCTTCCTTTCTGACATCGAGCTCATGAAGTAGAAGCTTCCCGAAGCTCAAAGCGTTCCCGGCCACACTATACCTTAAGTACTCTGTTGCGAATCCGTCCATGCAAGCCCGCCCTATATGACGCACTCTTAGCCCACTTGCCTATACAAGCTCGCACCACCTAGTAGGCAATAGGGGAATGAGTTGCCTGATATTACATTTCTTTGAGGCTACATGGGGATTCTCGATTGCCCCATTGAGAGTCAGTGCGTGATTCATGCCCACGCCTCGCGTCTCTCGGCTTTGCGTTCGGGGGGAGTCGAAACACAGACCTGCGCTGGAGCCAACAGACTTTTGGCTGCACCATCTGCTGAAGCTGGGAATATATATAAACATATATATATATATATGTATAAAATTTTCGGGGCAGATTGGTTTGATGTACTTTGGCAGTTATTGATGATGATTTGTTTCAGTAGTACCCCTCAAAAAGACCATATCTTACAGAAGTGACCATGTAATTTAAGGAAGTCCAATTCGACAGCGATGTATTTGACTAGCTGACGTCGTTTTGTTAATTATAGAGAGCTCAAATAGTAACGCATGCAAGTTCCTGAACCCTAAACCCAAAACCCTAAACCCTGAACCCTGAACCCTAAACCCTAAACCCTAAGCTGCACCTTTACAAAGGACAAGGGCAACTCCGCACCAGGCAGGCCTCAACCTTCTTGGTAGGTGGAGCCTTGCAAGGTCTTCGACAGAAACACTTCGCAGCTGGGGGGGGGGGGGGGGGCTCAGGTGTTCAGGGTTTAGGGTTTAGGACTTAGGGTTTAGGAGGATGTCTGCAGTTGTGGTGGCTTTGTTTGTTGTTTGTTGGGGGGGGGGGGGGTTCGGGGGGTTGAGTGTATTACTCAAAGCCCTACATTGACATGGTGGCCAAGTACTCCTTCCTTCGTGTTGTGGTACAGAAATTTTGGGTTTAAGGCTGGATTAGGGTTTAGGGTTTAGGGTTTAGGGTTTAGGGTTTAGGGTTTAGGGTTTAGGGTTTAGGGTTTAGGGCAGCGCGCTTCGCAACTTTCACGAAGACGTCTCAAGGACGCTGTCCCCCCAAACCGAAAAAAAAACCCAAACCCTCAAACCCCAGACCATCCGAAACCCTAAACCCTAAAACCCTAAAACCCTAAAACCTAAAACCCTAAACCCTAAACCCTAAAACCCTAAAACCCTAAAACCCTAAAACCCTAAAACCCTAAAACCCTAAAACCCGAAACCCCAAACCCGGAAGCTTCTTGCTCACAGGCATCTCCCAGGCCCTAATTTGGCTTTGGGCGCATGTGCCTGGAGTTGGGAGCCCGAACTTCATCTTGAAAATGTTATAATGCCTATAAAATGTAGGGTTTAGAGTTTAGGGTTTTAGGGACTATTTTTAGTCCCTAGATTATGCAAAAAAAGAGGAAAAAGTCACGCCACCAGCCCTGTCATTGCAGCGCCCCGCCTGCTGTTTGTTGTCTTGAGCAGCCATGTCCAGCCAAAGGTCCCATGCCTGCGAAGGCTCCGATCTCTGGTTGACCCTTGTCCCTGAAGGTTTAGGGTTTAGGGTTTAGGGTTTAGGGTGTTGGGGTTTAGGGGAAATCTGAACCCTGAGCGGTTTCGGGTTGAGGGTTTAGGGTTTATGTTGAGGGTGTTAGGGTGTTAGGGTTTAGGCCACCCCTCCTTCACCCCCTGAGGAGGGGAGGGCGAAAGTTGAGCTGTGGAAACGAAGAGCGAGAAGAAAGCGGCTGAACAGGGGCTGCACCACCGCGACCACTCCAATTGCTACTCCTACTTCCCTTTTTCTCAAGCGAAATGCTAAGAACTGTCCACCTGCAAACGTACAGTAGTTCGGATATTTGTTTCTAGTTGCCATCGTTCGACTGTACTGTATCATGTAAATGAGCCCAGAAACCTCCAGCAACCGACGTGGCGTGGGGTTCTGTAACAACAAACCGTCTCCTACCCTCTTCTGAAAGATCCTCCTGCGAAAAGAACCGCTTGTGTGGAAAGGCCCTAAACTCCATGTAAACCCCCTAAACCCTGTAAACCCTAAACCCTGTAAACCCTGTAAACCCTAAACCCTAAAGGTAAGGTAAGGTAAGGTGTGACCGCACAGCTGCACCCAGGAAGAGGGCTACAACAGCTGACTCTCGACACACAGCAAGGGGCGCGCCCACTTGTTGTCTACCGAAATGTGCAGGCAGCGTCATGGCGCAGATCTTTCACTGGCCACCGGGCGCTTGCACAAAGCTGCAGATCAGAAAAAGGCCAGTCGAAGGCACTCGCCCACGTAGTTCTGAGCTTCAAGCCACGTTTCTGGTGTGCCAAACAACGTGCGCAACAAGGCTATACTTAATGCCCTGCTCGGGCAGCCAGGAACCTTATTGCGGAAGGATGCAAAGGCTTCACACGTGCCTGCACACTGGCACAGTAGATGCCCAACGGAGGCCTCCGGTTCCCCACAAGCTGGGCACGTCAAGCGCAGCGGGAATTCTTTGAAACCGAAGAGCGGCAGAGGCCACCTCGCCGTAATGCGGACTAAACACCATGCTCGAAAATTGAACCACATGACATTGGGGGTTTCCAAATGAAAGATTTCCCAGTCCAAACTCAGGGTGTAAAAGCCCAAAGTTATCAGTGAGCACCCGAAGACTGGAATGTCATAAGACAGGCACTCAGCGAGATGTCTCCTGTCGTGTTCCAGCAGTATTGGTCTGACGACTTCTTGGCGATACTTGCGCAGGATCTGTTTGCGTAGGAAAGCGTCAGTTCTAGCTGCGCTGATCTCTTGACATGTGAAGATGCCACAGTCCGACAGCGTTGGCAGCGTTTGGTGCACCGAAGCTTCCTGAATGAGGGCAGGCACCTGGGTGAACCAAGACACACAGGGCGCGGTTTGCAGACATGCTGCAAGTCTCGCTGTGGGGTGATCTGCAGGAAGAAGAACAATTCTGGCACGCATCATCACCAGCTCGAGGAGCAAGCAAGTACCAAGTCTCATGTCCCAGCCACACTGGGCCACAACCAAATGATGTCGAAGTTCGCGCTGATATCTACATCCAAGGATCGCTTTGCCCCAGCGCCACTGCAGCTGATTTAGCTTGCCCAGTACGCCAGGTGCGAGAGCAATGAATGCTGCAACACACATGATCACTGGGTGTAACCTGATGATGACCTGGGAAACCAAGACCGGAACTGAAAAACCTCCAGTTTCAGCCATTTGAAACAGGTCAACGAACGTGGACCAAGCCCTTGCCAGGGTTGCACGCAACAAGGGTTCGAAGGTCAGTTCTTGATCGAACAAAACACCAAGGATGGTTTTTTGCGAAACAACTTCGCAGTCCAAGGAGCAAGGGTCGAGGGGCGGGCTACTCAGAAGCGCCATGGTACATGTCTTATTTTTGCCATAATGAAACTGCGACTTGGTGCGAGTCGCATACCGTGTGCAAGCTGAGGAAGCTGTCCTGTTGACAATACATCTCACTGCTCCGGGAGAGGAGCACGGAACTGTAGTATCATCCACGTACTGCAGCGACTCTACTTGGCAGGAGCCCAGGGCGTCAAGCAACGCACACCTGTCTGCGAAACCAGACAAGGAGGTTAGAGCCTCCTGTATTTCACGAGTTTGCTGGTGTGGCAGCAATGCATCGTCTTGTAACCGCTCTAAGACGGGCTTGAGGATCCCTTGCTGTGGCTTCGACGTGAAATCCAAGCTTGGGTCAGCCAAATCTATTGAAGATACAGCTCTCATGACTTTCTTAGGGAGCCAGGCACACACGCCATTTGGGAGAACACGACGAACCTCATCCCGCAACCCAGAAAGCAGGCAGTTGAAGACATGCACACTAAAGCGACGACCCTGAGCGATGCCGCAACCCAGAATGAAGACCTTTGAGAGTAATCCATGAAGATGGACACACTGCCTGTCTAAAGAAAAAACATCATCAATCAGTAACCAGTCTGTGCCGCAAACTCCGGCTTCTGAGCAAGCCAGTCTCATGTTGTTGAGCCTAGCCACGTCGAAAGCCCACCGCAAGTCTAAAATGGCCAGGTACAGCGGCAGGCCCTGATAATCTCGAACTTGGGCAAGTAACAGAATAGCAAGCAACAGTAGCTGAGTGCCAGAAACCCCCCCAACCTGGCATGGCCCTGCTAGCGTCTCCATCTTGAGTCGGTTACGGTTTAACCACAAACCGTGTACCACATGTGCCATGTCCGTGGTGAGGGAGATGGGGCGCAAGCACTGGATGCGACGGACTACCATGCTTCCTGATTTCCGTATGTGGGCAAATTGCCTCAACGACCACACAGTGGAAGTGAGCCCCACATGCCTGGAAAGATTGGCCAAGCTCAAAAGCAGTTGTCTGTGCGTTGAATTCCGTGCCTTGAGCAGCGCAAAACAACCATGGAGACACTTCTTGGAAGACTTGCATTTCTGCAAAACTTGCTCCAGTTCAGCCTCGGTGTAGAGATCATCTTGCGCAGCACTTGGAGTTGCTTGAGAAGCATCCGGGTTGTTGGAGTTGAAGCCGCCCAGACGCCGCACTTCCGCAACAGCAGTGTCAACTTGCCTTAGCAATTCACTATCTGCCGCGAAATTATTGTCAGCTCGCTCCATCATATCTTCCACAAGGGCCGACAACATGTCCTCTTCCGAGAGACTCTGCCCGGTGTCTTGGTCTAGCAAGCTGATGCGAAAACGACTTTCCTTATTAAAGAAGGAACTCAAAAACTTCTCAGAAGCACCACGATCTTGCTGTCGCAAGCGAGCGTAGGAATTCACGATGCGAAACTGTTCTCGCGCAGATGCTTCCTTGACCGCCGCCTTAAACTCCTCATGTGTTGCGTAGTCGGACGGGGAAAGTTTTTCACCCTCTGGACGACGGGCCCCGTGCACCTTTACTGCCCCAGCTATGTGACCTGCAATGACTACAAGGACATCTCTCGCCCAAGCCGCAGAGTCGAGGATGCCTCGGCGTAGCTTTTTGGAGGTCTTCCCTCCAAACTGTGCAGGTCTTAGGTCCACACACCTCAAGGTATCGGCAATGGCTTCCTCTAAAGACTGCAGGGGCAACGAGATCATGCTCAACGCTTCGTCCCAAACTTCCCCAGAAAGCCAAGAGATCCTACCAAGCGCGCCTGCGTAACAGCAGGAAACTTGCAAACTTACCGAGGTGGATACCAGCCTGTGGTCAGAACCCCCTAAGCGACCAGGATGCACAAAGGCCTGAACATCAAGATGAGCCGGAACCAGGACCAAGTCCAGGATACTGCCATTATCATGTGTTGCGACCGCAGGGCTGATGACACGTAAACCTGCATGACCAATCATTGCCTCAATCTGCATGTCATTGGCGCTTTGCCGACAGTGTAAACATCCGCACGTGTTGGGGTGATCAAACACGTAAGACAAGTGGGTGTTGGCATCGCCTAAAAGAACGAAATCATAGGCCACATATCGTTCCTTCAGCTGCGCGTACGACTCCAAGATATGTGACCATGTTTTAAGGTCTCCACCTTGGGCGCAATAGAAGCTACAACAAATGAGTCCCTGCTTCTGCGCAGGCTGTCGCGCTTGGATACAAATCCAACAAACCCTTTCACAACACAACTCCTCAAAAACCACCACGCTGTCGAAGAGGTCCGAATCAATGAAAAAGCCAGTGCAGTTCCAATCAACTGACCTAGTGCCAACCCATGTCATGGGGAACCTTTCAGGCAAAAGCGCACCTGGTGGCAATCTAGAGCCAGGCAGTGCAAGCACATGGAGCCTGTGTTCTTGCATTGCGGCCGAGATGGCCCACAGACGCCAACCCTGTAAATCCTAAACCCTATACCCTACGAACCCTAAACCCTATAAACCCTAAACCCTATAAACGCTATAAACCCTATAAACCCTATAAACCCTAGAAACCCTATAAACCCTATGAACCCTATAAACCCTATAAACCCTCTAAACCCTCTAAACCCTAAACCCTCTAAACCCTCTAAACCCTAAACCAAGGCGGCCTCCTCCAGCTGACTGTCGCTCTTGGCCGGGATGGTCTGCGTGCAGGGAATCGAGGTGTTTATGGCGTTTAGGTCTTAGGGTTTAGGAGTTAGGGTTGAGGGTTTGGGGTTTGGGGTTTAGGGTTTAGGATCTACTGGGTTTAGGGTTTAGGGAGATATTTGAGAGGGCTTTACAGCTGTGGTGTTGGGGTCCTTGTGTAGGGCTTAGGGCGTCTTTTTTGGCACCCGCATAGCTGGACGAACCACTCCGCAGGGTCACGGGTTAAAATTGGGGGTCGTCAGGGTGTAGGGCCTATTTTGCAAAAACCCCTAAACCCTAAATCCTAAACCCTAAACCCTAAGACCTTAACGCCACAGGGGCATCCCCAAGCGATTCCTCAGTCGGTTCTTTGCAACCATGCGGTTGCCTTTCGGGTTGCGAGGATGCTGGAATCGGATCTTAAATCCGGCAGGTTGAGGCTTTCTAGAGGCTCTAGCACCCTAAGCCGTAAACTCTGAGCCCTAAACCCTAGCCCTAAACCCTAAACCCTAAACCCTAAACCCTAAACCGTAAACCCTGAACCCTGAACCCTGAACCCTGAACCCTAAACCCTAAACCCCCAGGTCAGGGCTTAGGCTTATAGGGAGTGTCTACCCTCGGCCTGGTCTGTGCCCACACTCCAGTCTGCTGCCTCGATCGCCATGAGGCCTCATCTCGGTAAAAACCAGGGGCTGAGGGCTTAGAGTCAGGGTTTGGGGTTTTAGGGGTTTGGGCTTTACACATGGGGCTCGGTAGCCCGGTTTAGGGTTTAGGGCTACCATATTCTAATGAGGGTGCTCTTTGGGGGGGGGGGGGTTATAACCCATATACGCTATACTATCTATACCAAGCATAATAAGACAAGGGCAAGGGACCATACTACAGGGCCATGGTTCCAAGCTCAGATCTCGGGGGAGAGGTGGTTGGGACACTGAGGGTTTATAGGGTTTAAGGGGGTTTATAGGGTTTTCGTACCTACGGTCCGGCAGGAAAATGTGTTGATGAGAAAGGTCCGTGATAAATTGCTATGAGAACTGGGAGCCTTCCTCGTGAGGCTCTAGACTTGGCGCCTTATTCCTGAGCGCCACAAGCCTTAAACAAGCGTAACACCTACCATGAAAAGCCCCACACATTGTTTCGAAGCCCTACATCCTCGGCAAGACCCCCCCCCTAAACCCTATAAACCCTAAGCCCTGAACCCCCCCCACAAGGTCAGGCTAGGCTGCCGAGGGCTTTCTTCAGGTCCAAACGCCATTCCTGTGCCAAGCTGTAGCTGCGAAGTCAAACTTGGACTTTGGGGGTGGTGAATGGCGTCCAGCTTGCTTTGGGTTTACAGGGCTACAGGATTTTTAGGGTACAGGTCCTTTGGTGCTCCTCCTGTTTTGTCCTGCGTCCCCCTGTCATAGTATAGGGTTCTGAAGTCATGCGGGGTAGACATACCCCCCCCCCTTGAACCCCCCTCAAGAAACTTTTTCTGAATCATTGCATTCCACCGATTTGAGAACAAAATGAACCCTTGAAGCCCACCAACAAAAGACAAAACCGTCCCCTCCCTGGACCCTATAATCAATGCTATAAACCCTATCAACGCTATAAACTCCATAAGCCCAGATAAACCCTGTAAACCCTCAGGAACCCTCATAAACCCGAGAAACCCTACAGAAACCCTGCCGCGCATCCACCCTCAAAGAAACCCAAATGATGCCTATATTAAAACCCTAAACCCTTATATAACTCCAAAAGAAAGGGTTTATGAGTATGCGTGGCTGGACCCTGCACTCTAAGCCAAAACAAAGCCATCTCGACAGGGCTTGCGACCAGTAACGCTCAGAACGCTTCATGAAAGAGTGTACGTCTAATAAGTCCGGCATTCAGGAAGAAGCCCATAACCACATCGAGATCCTCATAATACTGCTTTTGAGATGCATACCTTCACTTGGGGGCCATTCAATTCGGCTTCCAAAAATACCCCTGGAAAAGATCAACCCGCCATGAAGCCTTGCCTTACCTTCGGAAGCCCAAAACTACTTCTGAGATTCTTTGCTCTGACCGCTTCTGGGGACCAAACGAACCCTAAAAAGGGTTTCTGGTTCACAACCCTAAACCCTAAACCCTAAACCCTAAACCCCAAACCCCAACCCCAAACCCCTAGTAGGGACCATGGTAGTATCGAGTCTCTGACCCCACCTTTAGGGTTCATGTGGCCTTCACGGCACCGCTCATCAGGAGACTGCGGAGTCGACCCTAAACCCTAAACCCTAAACCCTAAACCCTAAACCCCAAACCCTAAACCCTAAACCCCGAAGACTTACAGCCTCTCCGTCCGCCATCCTTCCCTCTTGGAGCTGCGACTCGTGGCACCACTCCTCGGGGGGCATAATGACCCTCCCCCTACTATTCACCCGCCCCTAGGGTTTAGGGTTTAGGGTTTAGGGTTTAGGGTTTAGGGTTTAGGGTTTAGGGATCCCTTAATATTAAATGCCCCCCCAATATGCTCGAATATGACTCTAAAGGGCCTTGGGCATATGACCCTATTTCATAGAGTTCATTTGGTCCCGAAGGTAGAGACAATGCTGCATTCATACCTCTGCGAAGCAGGCGCCTCATACGGAGGCGATCTGCGGGCCACAAAGGCATCAGACCCCTCTTGTGGCGGCGACTAGGCACAACTGCTCTGTGCCCCCCGCCGCCCCCCCAAAAAAGCACCGAAGGTTCCTGGGTAGCTGCGCTCACTTGCGCTCCCTTCGCCAAGACGTCATTCCGAAAGAACTTGCAAGCACCAAAAGCCCCCTCTACTGCTCAAGCTGCCATCCCCGCGCTTTCTTCAAGGGACTGTACCCCTAAGGCCCTAAGGTGGCACCCTCGTTGGTTTTTTTTTTTTGGGGGGGGGACCCTTTTTAATTAAATCTCCCGTCAGGTAGTATATAAGGGCCCGATTAGGGGTGTATTTAGGGCAACCTCAGAACGGTACGAGTCTTCATCCCTGGAGTGCGAAGTTTTGGGCACTGAACCTGCATAATCTAGGGGTCGGAATAGATTACTAATGGTATGTTCTTAGGGTCCCTTTATGATTATCCTAGAATAACCCCCCCCCCCCCCCAAATACCTTATTCTAATTATTAAGTTGCTACGGCCCCAATAGTGCATCACTGAACCATACATCTCCCGACCCGTGACTGCGGCACACTTGCATCCTCCACCGCGAACCCTCACTCAGACCCCCGGAGGATCCCAAAAGTATATGAAGTAGGGTATATATTTCTTGTACCCCCAAAAGGACACCAGGTATATACACTCACAAATATTAAAAAGGAACCTTATATACACTCACCAATAACAGTTATATAAACCCTGGTTTCATATAGATTCCCATGACTCAATCGTAGGATAGGGTACGATTTGGGGGCTCTACTTTTTGGATCTTGTGGCCAGGGGAGCTGCCCTTTCTCCTAAGCCATCCTAAGCGCATGTAACACCTGATGATTCTAAGCTTTCCAACAGACTGAGGGCGAGACGGGTGGGCTCCTCATGGCTACAGACAGCCTGGCCCACTGCTGGGGTTTAACCCCACGCAGGGGGCGGAGAGGCGGAGTGCGGGGGGTTGCAGGGTTTCTTGGTGTAAGTCCTTAGGCCCCTGACTCCTAGTTTAGCCCAGCGGCCCAAAAACCCATTATGGAAAATGGGCATGGTACTACCAAGGGGTAGGGTTTTCCGGAGAGGCGACGACGCAGAATCTCGGCCTGAAGGTACGGGAGATTCCCTATTAAACTTGGGATGTTCCCCCGAATACTACCCAGACCCCTGGGAGGATCCAAAAAGTAGAGCCCCCAAATAGTACCCTATACTACGATTGGGTCATGCTTAGGAACCCTTAAGGGGATCTACTTTTTGGATCTCCCAGAGGTCTGGTGTAACAGTCCTTCATAGGGATTTTTGTACCCCCCCCCCATTATAATCCCTATAAGGCCTGTTAGTATAAGGGGGAACATTGAACATCCCAAATTTCACCAGCCCTAAAACCAATCAACAACTAAACTGTCCTCGGCACAACTCCTGCAACACATCTTCGGAGAATACTAGACCCAAGAGTAACCTAGAATAAAAGGGTGCCCTTTTTGGCTGTAAGGGCCTTGTAAGGGAACCTAAACCCTCCAAAAAAGGGAATAAGGGCCTTACTCTGGGTCCTAGCAAATGCGTGACAGAGTTTTTTTGAGTAGTTTGTGCATGCATCCCCACCTCTAGCTTGTAGCACGAGTACCGTCCGACCGAAACCCTAAACCTTTAAACCCTAAACCCTAAACCCTATACCCTATACCTTTAGACCCTAATCCCCAGCAGCAGAAGCCCAAGATCGCACTCCGACGCCTTACAACCATTCCTGACTTCCCTAAACCCTAAACCCTAAACCCTCAACCCAGCATCGGGAGGAGATTTTCTGGCATCCTTTGGCTTGATTGGATGGCCGAGCTCTGGGGGCCTGGGCCGCCCGCTTCTGCACCGAATATGCTGATACCCTTGCAGTAGAGTCGTAGAGACCCAAGAAGGATGTGGGGGTGCCTGTCGGGTTTACAGGTTTACGAGAGAAATCATCGAGAAAGTCTCACTTAGACTTATGCCGAACTTCATGTAGCTTTACCCAGCGAAAGTTAGATCGACGGGGAGAAGTCGTGTAGAAACTGGCCGGCAAGCCTCAATGGCCATTGCGCAGGCGGAACTAGGGGATGTACAGTTGTCTCGTGGCTTGCACATGTATGGCTAGGGTGGTGGGTTGTTGCTGGATGTGTGCGTTCCAGGCACTACCTTGCACGCCCAAACCTACAACTAGGTCAGCTACAATGACCTAAACCCGTACTGGCTTACAGCTTGGGGGGGCACCGAAGGTCCGGGATTGACAGAATGGCTGTCTCCTGCCAGAAACCTTGAAGCAACAACTCAGGCGGGTGCTTGTTCTTGGCTCACGCGTTCTGGGCAGCCATGTCGGCTTCCCAACCCATTGGGCACTCCACACTCTTGAAGCTTAGAGTTCGAGAGCAACGTAGCGTCCAAGCTCCTGATTCCTTATTAACCTGCTACTCCAACTTCCTACAGACACTACGGGGGTGCTCTCTCCCTCTTCCTTTTTCCTCTCCCTCTCCTTCCTTCTCTCTCCCTCTCCCTCCCTCCCTCTCTCCCCCTCCCTCCCTCCCCGTCCCTCCCTCCCCCCCCCCCTCCCTCCCTCCCTCCCTCCCCCCCTCCTCCCTCGCTCCCTCCCTCCCTCCCTCCCTCTCCCTCTCTCTCTCTGTCTTAGTGGTTCTGTGGCTCCTATATTCATAGACACGGCTCCAAGACGTCATCACTACTGAAGCAGGTCTCCGTACATGTTGGGCACAAGCAACCGTCCCGATTTTGTCACCCCGCCCCGGTGATAGGAGGACCTGCAACTCAGGAGGCAGCGCATCTGACACAGCCACACCTGGGCAGTCTTCAGGGTTTAGGGTATAAGGTTAGGGGTTTAGGGGTCTGGGGTTTAGGGCTTTAGGGGTTTAAGGGTTTAGGGGTTTAGTATTTAGGGGTTTAGGGCTTTAGGGGTTTAGTATTTAGGGGTTGGGATGCCGGGGTGAAGGTTGAGAGAAGGTGGTTCATGCTCACATGTGTCACCGTAGCGGGGCCTCAGCTGTCAGACAG